CATCACTTGTACTGTACCAATGCGGTCCCAAACAAAAGTAAATAATCTATTAGGAATGCAAGGCCCGGGCCCAGTTCAGTGGCCTAGTGGTTAAAGCCCTAGCCTTGAAAGTGCCAGGATCCCATATGGATGCTGGTTCTAATCCTGGTGGCCCCACTTCTCCTCCAGCTCCCTCTTGTGGCCTGTGAAAGCTTTGGCACCTTGCACCCACGTGGGAGACCTGGAAGAAGTTTCTGGATCCTGGCTTCTGATTGGCACAGTACTAGCCATTGCGGTCATTTAGGGAGTGAATCATCAGACGGACGATCTTCCTCGCTGTCTCTCCTCCTCTCTGTGTGTCTGACTTTGCAATAAAAATATTATAAAACAAAATAAAATAAAATAAAATAAAATAAAATAAAATAGAAATGCACTTCTTTAAAAAAAAAAGACTGCAAGGCCCAAAGGTTAAATGCATGTTAGAATATTCAAGGGGCCTAATAGGGTAGAAATTAAAGTAGTATGCCAGGGGCATGTATCAAACCAAGGCTGAAACTACCTCTTCATCTGTTCTCACTCTCTTTTTCTCTTAGCTAGGCCTTCTCGTACTTTGACCATCGATTCTTCATTATCACTGGGTGGTCAGCATAGACAAGGTAGCTTCAGGAATCAGAGACCCTGACTGCCTATCATCCCAGCTGACTCCTCACATTTCCAAACAGAGGAATGGACCCCAGCTGCTGTTTAGGGAAGAGAGAGCAGTGACCACTCTTAGCTACTTCCTGCTGAAAGGGGGCGTTGTTGAATAACAGCAGTAGTAGGGGTTCTAGAGGTTCCTGGCAGAAGGTGGAAGTCATCAGGTGTCTGAAGTACTGCCTGGCACTTGAAGTCTTCTCTTTGTTAAAGCCTAGTGCTTGCTTTGGCAGCACATATTCTAAAATTGGAATGATACAGAAAAGATTAGCATGGCTCCTGCACAAGGATGAATCTTTGTTAAAGCCTAGATAACAGAACATAGCATAGTTATAATCTTTCCCAACCTAGCAGGTCATGAGTTCATTTAGAAACCCCACTTGGAATACTTGAACTTTAAAGCTTGAATGTAAAAGATTTTTCAGGTTTCAACTTTTGTCAAAGTAAACATTACTTTAGTTTAAGACAATGAACTACATTTATATCAGTTAAATTAACTCCTTTAAGTCTCAAGTTTTGGATCATACTCAATGAATACAATGGAACATATGAAACCTCTTCTGAGATGCATAAAATTGCTAACCTAGATCAATCAGAAGACACAGTAACAATGCAAGGATTAGCATATAGCACCAGGACATAAGCCCATCACAGGACAGGTAAATGCAAACTGACTTCTTGGCTAACCTTAACAATTATTGAAATTTGACATTTTAAAATTCTACAGTAGTTTTGCATCTAGCTAGGAAACAGGCAAGTGTTAGATTTTCTAAAACAGTTATACTTTACCAACCATTGCAAGCCCTAAAAGTTTCAGGAAGACATCTAGCCTAGAACATGAAGCACAGCACTCAAAATACTTTGTTACACAACCTACTGGTCACATTGTAGATGGCAAAAGATTTAAACTAGTTTTCATTTACAATAGCCCAGCAGTATATAGTAAGTATCCCAACAAGCTTTTACAGAACTTTATATGCTTTACGGCAGAGGTAAGCAATCTACTAGTTTATAGCCTAACAAGCCATGTACTTGCAATTGAAGAACCCAAGAATCTTAAATAGATGAGCAAAGAGATCCCAAACAATCTAAGTGAGGAAGGCATGAGCTCTGCTTCAGAGCACTCGTGGTGTATTACCCCAGTGAAGTCTAACAGAAATTTGGGGGATGGCAAACATCCCTTAACGGGTTCTAGTCAGTGGTACTAGTTGAGCAGTCATAGGTCAGCCAATTTGCAGGCCGCCGGGAGCCACTGTATTCTAAGCTCTTCCTGTTGATAACTTTCACATCAATTAATGTAAATACCTAACAGACATAAAATTCTGTCCATTTTTGATGATAGCCAAAGTTATTTTTATGTCAAAATGGATATTATTTACAAGCTACACCTAACTAAATCTAGCCAGTCACACTACTGGTAGTAGGAATGTACAAAACTTCTGAACAATTGCCTCTCAGCAAAAGAGCTAAATATTCCGACATAACCAAAACTGAGATGATAAATCTTAATATACTAAAATATAGCAAGGTTTACTATTAATTTTACTATGACTCTGAATATACAGGTCCTGCATGGAAACTCAATACACAGTGACTCTAATGAATTTAACAAATTAGCACTCTTATGTGTGACGTCAGTGACCTGAGGCTCCAGACATGCAATGCTTAGGCTGTGGAAGCCTCTAGAATCCACAACAACTTCAGTAGACCTGGCCACACCACACAGTGGAAGTTCTCTCCTCCATTGAGAGAAGAGCACAACCATCTTTGATGGCTGCTTCTTTGTACTGGGGTGTGGACCACTGAGGTCCTTCATGGAGGGACACTCTTAACAGCAGTGTCCCGGCATTCCACATCTGATACACTTGCTCTCTTGCTGGCTCTCCTGTCAGACCAGAATGCCTTTGGGCTGATTCTGAGTCCACTGTGTGCCACTCAAGATTGCCAGTCTATGAGTCTGCTGTAAGAGCTGCTTCCCATGTTGGAGCATGTTAACATTCTCTGAGATCTGAATTATCATTAAACGCTAACATACATATACCCATATATTTTCCATCTAGCTCATGGGGATTTGGGCTCCCATGGCCAGTTTTGAAACTATACCCTTAGCAGTAAGTCCACTTGAATACATGCAGAGCTATACAGCTGAACAGACTCTGTAGGTCCTGAGAAAACAGAAACAGACATGACTCTCCAAGAGCCTAATTATACATCTAGCAATTCTCATTTAGGAACATTTTCATCTATAAGCCAATTAAAATAGACACCATAGCTTGCCACATAAACATGTACATGCATATCAGGCAACACATATCATAAAACAAAACAGCTTTTGTAACAGCTACTTGAAAATTCTCTTAATTGTTTGAAGTTACCAATTGTTTAGAATCACACCTTGCTCTTAGTAATCTCAGTAAATTCTCATACCTACAGTTCACTATTATACTTTAGCTTTAATGGATGCAATAGGTCTGCTGGAACCTAGAAAACAAAGCATCTATGTTTAGAATTATCAAACATTAAACAAATAGAGACATCTATATTTCACATAGCACTGTGAAACCACCTGTAGGATTTCACACTCTCTTGTACTTTTCAGACCTAGGGGTCTAGCCATTATGACTGATGACACCACAGACGGTCACGTGGGGATCAGGAAGGATGGTGTGAGGAATGTACATATTAACACCAAGAGGGGGTATACCAACGAGCAGTTTGTTCCTCTAGCAGACGCCTTTTCTTGGTCTTTGTTCCTGTTCCCCTGCCTGGGGGAGGAAACACCTCCTTTTGATCTAAGCCTGAGGACTAGGGAGATTCTCTCCATAAATTTTCTTCTTTAAAGATCTATGTTTTATTGGAAAGGCAGATACACAGAGAGGAGGAGAGACAGAGGGGAAGATCCTTCGTCCAATGGTTCACTCCCCAAACAGCCGCAATGGCCGGAGCCAAGCCACTCCACAGCCAGGAGCCTCTTCCAGGTCCCTGCTGCAGCAGGTCCAGGGTCTCAAGGCTTTGGGCCATCCTCAAGTACCTTCCAAGGCCACAAGCAGGAGCTGGATGGGAAGCAGAGCCACAGGGATTAGAACCAGTGCCCATATGGGATCCTGGCACATTCAAAGTAAGGACTTTAGCTATCAGGCTATTGCATCAGGCCCTTTAACTGTTAAGCTATCACGCCAGGCCCTTCCCCTGTAAGTTTTCATATCAACAATTCCTGGAGCCTTCCTTGCAGGATTGCAACTAATCCTGGCTCCCTACTGGCAAAGTTTCCCAATGTAATCCAAAAAAATGTTTTTACAGATCTAATCAGTTGTCTGTCCTACAATTAACTTTACCAACTGAAAGATACAACTGTTGACATACAGTCTTCCGACTCTGAGACTACCAAGAGGCCTTAAAATATCTGATTAAAGATTCCTCATTATAATATCCATCCATTTCGTCAGACTGATTCAAACAGTAACATATCAAAGAAATGCTTTGTCACGTATAAAATGACCACACAAATATTTCAAAGTAAATACATATCAGAAAACCCTCTTGAAAAATGTAGCTCTGTTAAACCATGAGAATTTGACAAAGGGAATTAAATTACCTTACTGAGAGGCAAAATGTGTATTTCTTCGGTCAATTACCAAAAGAGAGATATAACCTTAAACACAGGGATTAGTGCATAAAATCATCTCATAACTTTAAAAAATTTAACAAATTCAAATGTTGGAACAAGAATAGAGCTTGCTGAAGCTGGATAGACAATTGACAAAGTCACCAACTAAACAGAGACTATCTAAAGTTCAATGTTTCAATTTTTTAACAGCTTTCAAAATTAGAGGGTTTTTTTGTTTTCAGATATTTACTAGCATTCCTATGCGTGCACACCTCAATAACTTCCTGCAACCACATCAATTCTAATGTAAGCCTATGTTAGGTACTAATGTTAAAAACTCAAAGTGTGGTAATAGTATCTTAAAAATTATAGCTAATTATATATAAAACTTACAAGATTCATTTCTCAACTTTTCTAACTTCCTCACCTCTGTCTCGACACGCTTAAACCTTTAAGTATTTTGTCCCAATTCATGGAAACACATTTTAACACAAACCCGCCTCAAAACTGGGAATGAGAAATTTTTCAAAGAACCTTCTTCTAGCTGGTTGGGGAATTTCCCCCCTTCTCAAATGAAGGCAGATAAGAAACACCACAACAGAAACAAAGTCCCAAATTCTTGGAAGGACAGACTCCAAGCATGCCCCTCCCTTTTCCATAGCTGGTAGGCCTGGAGCTTCTCAGCAGCTTGTTTCATTGAAGTCAAGAGAAAAACATAAACTTGGCTGTTGTCTTAAGAGGCTTCCCAGGAATTTACTGAACTTCGTTAACAGGTTTAGTTATCAATAAGATGAAAATAACTTAAAAGGAAAACATTTATTTTTCACAAGAAATCAGACTTTAATTGTTTTAAAGGCAAACATTCAAAAAATATACACATTATAACCAATTTCACTATACATCTTTTAATAATTTGTTGTTTTCCTGCAAGGCAAAATCTCACATGCTTCTTTATAAATAAGAACACAAGTAATTTATAATCTGGACCAATCTCATGATTAGAAAACATTTCAACCAATGAGCATAAATACTCATTTGCTTTAATAGCATATTTGATGCAACAAATTTAGCAAAATTTTATAATATTGTGAGATTATAATCCAAATTTTTAAAATGATAAATATATTATCCAAATTCTGTCTCAGTCTTTGAGAGTTCCAGAAATCCTACTAGAACTTTCAAAGTGATGAAACTTTGTTTTAGGACTTTGAAAAATTTTAGAGGTCTAAATGAGTTAAACAAAAAAGTACATCTAGGGCCCAGCGTGGTGGCGCAAGTGGTTAAGGTCCTCGCCTTGCATGCCCGGGATCCCATATGGGTGCCGGTTCTATCCCGGCAGCCCCACTTCCCATCCAGCTCCCTGCCTGTGGCCCGGGAAACCAGTCAAGGACAGCCCAAAGCTTTGGGACCCTGAACCCTCATGGGAGACCCGGAAGAGCCTCCTGGCTTCAGATCAGCATAGCATCAGCCATTGCGGTCACTTGGGGAGTGAATCATCGGACGGAAGATCTTCCTCTCTGTCTCTCCTCTCTGTATATGCGTCTTTCCAACAATAAAAAAAAAAAGTACATCTAACACTTAATTGAACATGTTAATAAATACTGTATGTTACATCTGATCAGTGCTAGGATAACACTATAAATTGAAGACCAAAATAGCAAGAAAGCGTTATACAAACCTTTCCCCAGCGGGGGCTGAAAGTCTGGTCTGTTAGATAAGTTAGACCTCTCTAAAATTGTTTACCAGGCGAGAAAGGGGGATAGTCATGGTCTGTCCCATCTCATCTGTCAGTCACACATGTACCCAATTCAAAACAAGAATAACAACTCAACAATAATAAACCAAACAATTTAGTCCAACATTTGGAACAAAGGCAAGGACCCTGTTTCAGATCTTTAGCATGCCCCCTGGGAAGCGTCACTCCCTGGGACCCCAGCCGTCACCTAAGAGATCCCAGCCGACTAGCCAATACCAGCGCGTCCACCTAGGCTGTATGTCAGCTTTTGGCTTCTTGTTCCAGAACACCTCACACTCAGGGGACTACTTCCCGGGGACGATCGAATGTTGTCCCCACTCTGTCCATTCAGAGAGTTTGGGATGGGGACCTTCTGCCACTGTCCCCACTAAAATTTATAGGTGCCCTCGTAGGCTCAAACCAATTCTAGACACGTGGCTCTCTCACAGTCCCTCACAGTTCAAAATTTAGCACCTAATTCGGTTATCCAATTTAATGTTTAACCTTTAGCTCAGACACAGAACATACAACAATTTAAGGACAAGACAAGCACAAACCAATAAAAGAAAACCAGCCAGAGGGGACATGCCCACTCCTTAGATGAAAACACCTGACACATTGAGTGTTCCTGCCCCCTCACTAGGTGCAAAAAATACCCCCAAATCAGCCAAAAACAAAAAGAGAAGAAAAATAAGACAAAACAATTAGCTGGCAAAGAATTGAGGTGAGACTCACCACACATGCTCCTCCAGTGGAGTTGTGATCATTTTGGGGATCCCGGATGAGCCCCCGTTTGTTGTGCCCAGATTTTGAGATCTCCAAAAATCAGCATTAGTCTGAAGTTGATCCAAGTGCACAAGGATCGTTTATTGAAGCTCAGCACATCCCAAGCCTCGGTTCTTGCTTGAGAGCAGGAAGCTCGCTGACACCCTGGCCAGTCAACTGGCCAGAACCAACACTCCTTCCTGGGAGTGTGGTCCAGACAGCACATCCACAGGATTTTTATAGGGGCAGTTCACAATACCTTGAAGAGGGAAAGTTCACAATAGTCTGCAAGGTGATGGGAAATAACACACATTCCCTACCTGTCTCGGCTAGACAGCCCATGCCTCCAGCAACTAAGCGAAGCAGCCACTTCATTGCTTGGTGCCACCTGTGGGATAACTAGATTTAGGTGGGCCTTGATTCATAAGAATTGGGACCCATTAGAGCTAAAGGTCACATAGGATTTTGATACTGAGGTTCTTTACTAGCAACAGGATGACCGCCCCTTCCCCATATCTTAAAAAGCAACTCTTATGCTTATGCCTTGGGGTTGTTTTGAAGCTTGAAGGAAGATAAAAGACTATGATCTGCAATCTGCACAGCTAGAGAAACGAGGACTGTAATTATTGTTAAAGTGGATGTTTGAAAGAAACACTGTATACATCACTCTCAACTGGGATAACAGGCTGAGTCCTGGTTATCTCTCACGTGACTTGCTACTTGTGTGGAGTAAATGACAGGTTGTTATTGGACTCCGGGCAGTGTGGGAGTGGAGAAAATCGTAGCCTTGCTATCTCCAAGGGAGCACTTCTTTAAATGTTTATATGAAAAAGAACCGCCCCCTGCTCCCCCCTCCAGAAGGAGCGCATAGTGAAGTGGGAAGAAGGAATTCACAAGCAGAGGAGGGACAGAGCCAGGACCAGGAGAGGTCAGTGGGGAAACAAAAGGCCAGCTGAAAGAGATCACAGGGGATGAGGAGGGGCAGTGGGCATGAACAGGGCAGGGCCCAGAGCCAGTCAGCCTGGGGCGGGGGTTGTGGCAAGCCAGTGGCTAATCCTGCGACCTTCCAAGCAGGCACCAGGCACCAGGCGGAGGAGGGGAGTAGGAGGGAGGGGCTTGGCCAAGGGCGCAGGCAGGACGACACTTAAAAGGGAGATGACCCTAGACTTTAAAGGTTAATGACACCGGCGACCTCCGGAGCCCAGGCAGGGATAACTAAAGGAAGGAGGCTCCTCACCCCAGGCCCGCAACAAGAAGTTCACTGAGCAGAAAGGGGTGACCCAGCACCTTCCACTATGTGCGAGCTGTACTGCAAGCCTGACACCCTGGCGCTGAGAGGGAAGCACATCGGGTAAGGGCGCCCCAGGCCGCTGACGTGCACCAGAGAGGCAGCCCCAGGCCGTGCTGAGGGCGAGGAGCTGGAGTGGGAGAGGGAGCCTGCGAGCGAGCGCTGACCCACGCACCGGGGCGCAGCGAGCGGGGCTGCGATGCGGTCCCCGGGTCTGGTGGGCGCGCAGAGGTGCACCTGTTGCAAGCGACGGCGCGGCACGGCTCGCGCCCATGCAGTGGAGCGCTCAGCACCCGGTGGCCGAGCTGGGGCTGCGGGCAGGCTGGGGGTGCTGAAGGGACCGGGCTCTTAGGGGGACAAGGTGGAGGCCGGGAGGGCGCGGGAAAGGAAACGAGCGTCTGCCACCAATTCGAATGTTTTAAGAAACTGAACTCACATTCCCACCCTTCTCCCCGTTGACTCTGAATACAAACAAATTCTGATTATTTATTTATTTCTGCCTGAAGTTAGTCTTTTGGTCTTGCTTGCTTGAGTGGGAAAGGAAGGGTTAGTATGCCAGAAACCTCCTTCGGTGGAGATGCACTGTCGGCACCCAGGTCTCCCAAATCGTGCCTTCACTTGGATTCTGACCTCCTGTGTTCTGTGTTTCTGCTGTGCTTTGCCTTGTCGCAGACCACATGATCGTGCACGGAGGCGCCCACGTCACAGCCTAGGCTCTGGTCCTAGCTGGGAATCATTCCCTGGATCATGGATAGATGGATAGATGGATAGATAGATTATTTGATATATTGATATACATCTGTTACTCTGCCTTCCAAATAAGTAAACTTTTGAAAAATAGAAAACCATATGATACAGAAGAATGAAAGTGACAGGAGAATAAAAATGAGCTCCTATAATACCTTCACACTATTTAATTTATTTGTACTTGGTATTTAGGGCTGCTTATTTCTTTTTTATTTCTCATCATACAGTTCAATAAGCTCAGGGATTCCCCATTCCTCCTCCGCCTCACTGTTTTCTCTCGTGTTATTACAACACTACCTCAACAAGAATCACAAGTCCATCATTCTGCTATTTAAGTGTATCATGACATTGCAAGCATAGATAATGGTAGAGAGTCCAGCATCCTGTTGTTGCCAGCAGGTTCCGGCTGCTTATTTCTTAACGTGTTAGATAAGAAGAGGGGAAATGGTCATCTCATATGGGTGCCAGTTCAAGTCCTGGCTGCTCCACTTGTGATCCAGTTCCCTATTTATAACCTGGGAAAGAAGCAGAAGATGACCCAAGTGCTTGGGCCCCTGCACTCATGTCGGAGACCTGGAGGAAGTTCCTGGATCCTGGCTTTCAGTGGGCTCAACTCTGGCTGATGTGGCCAGACATAACCAGCAGATGTACAATATCTCACTCTCTGTCTCTCTCTTTCTCTTCTCTCATTATCTAACTTGCTTTTCAAACAAAAATAAGTCCTTAAAAAAGGAGGACAGAGAGAAAGGGAACCTCTTATTATGCATAACTCTGTTTGGATTGTGCATAACGAGTTTGCCTTTAAATTCCATTTTTTTCCATTGGCTGTGTAACCTTAATCAAGTCACTTTGTTTCTCTATAATGAGAGAGTTGTGTTAATTGCTATCTGCTAGGATTGCTGGAACATGAAATGAGATCATATTTGTAAATATACAGCAGTTTCTGACACGTAATAAGCCTTAAAAATTTTTTTTTCTCACAGAATAAAAGTTCCCCAAAGGGAAATTAATTCTTGGTTTAAGTGATCAGAGCTGAAAGCAGTTTAATTCAATGGTCTCTAAATAGAACTGTCAAATCCCAGCAAATTTAATGCAACAAATGCACAAATATGAACAAACTTGTAGCAGTGTCATAAAAAGGAGATTGAGATAAAATGTTCCGACACAATGTGAAGTACCACTGTGATTTTCTGCTGATGATGACCTTCCTTGAGAAGGGAAAACACAGTGCAAGACCAAAGTGTTTGCTCCAATTCTTCTTAGGCCTTCCTG